AGAAAGTAATTTCTCTGTACTTCCTGTGAGCACCGTAGTCCACAGAGGAAGTACAGACAGGATGAGTCAAGGAGAAAGGAGCCGTCCTGCACACGTGAGAAGCTCTGACTGTTTGTTTTCCCTCACTTCTGTATTTAAGCAGAGGTGCACAGTGATATGGTACTGGTTTTTCTCTTGGATGCAGTGGAAACAAATACTGTGTGCAGTGTTTCATAAACTGCACACAGTTACAGTAACATGTGCAGATGGCTTCAGCCATGTTCCCACTATTCAAAATAGCGAAGGAGCTGAGCCCTGCGTTTGTCTTTAATCACTTTCACACAGTTAATTTGCACAGCAGCAGGCGAGCACACAGCCATTCAGTTTGGCTGATAAAAGCAGGCCTACAGTTACATGTCCTCGCATTACTTTCACCTGCTCATCGCTGGCAGCACATGATTCAGTCATTCACTCAACAGTGCTGCCTGTATAACCCGTGGACAGCAGATGCTGTCACATTTCTGTGTTTGCTCTTGTAATCGTTGTGTCAAACGTGTGTTAGCACACCTTGTGAGAACATGTGATGTGTTTGCAGGTACAAGAAGAACATCAAGGCCCTGTACATCGTCCATCCCACCATGTTCATCAAGACTCTGCTGATCCTCTTCAAACCGATTATAAGGTTCGTTTCTGGTTTCTCTGACAGGGACCATTATGTGCAGCCCCAGTGCGCGCACACACACACACACACACAGGTTTGTGCTGATGTTGTTACAAAGCGCCTCGAGGCGACTGTTGGGATTTGGTGCTGTATAAATAAAACTGAATAGGGGGGGTGCGTTACTCTGTGATCCACTTCCTGTTGATATAGGGAGAAATGTGACGACTGATTGTTGCAGCTGTGGCGTCCTGTTACAGAACGAGCCGCTCTTTGACAGATGCACGGTTATAACACGAGGTTACGGCTCGATTTTATGCAGCTATGGCTGTGAGACTTCAAACGCCTGACTTCAAAGGTTCAGAGAGGGCGACCCAGTACTTGAACTTATCCTTGCTATGATTGAGAAGCTGTCTGTACTTAGAGCAACCAGCTTTAAAGTGCAACTTTTGACGTCAGTCAGATTTTTAATCCCTGATTGATTTTATGACATTTTCTAGGATTTTTTTATATGCTTGATGTCGGGTCAGATGCTGTAATATAATCTGTCTAACGGGCAGCCATGGGTACCACACAGCATCATGTACTCCAGCATTACTCCTGTGGATTGTGGGTAAATACAGACTCCACTAATGCTAAATGCTGATGAGCATGTGTTCCCTCAGTAAGCAGTTATCAGTTTACTAATAAGAAAACTAAGAGTGCAGTAGTGTCACATCAGCATGCTTATGTGAGCTGATATCATTACATGATTTCTTCCTGCGGTTTTCAAGAGACATATGTTCATTTAAAAAGGAAGCACATGATTAATGAATATGAATTTTGGGTCATTGTAACTAACATTGACAGAACTTTAGCAGCATCTAGTGGCAGCAGCAGAGAACTGCAGCCATAAATGTGTCTGCAGTTCCTGCTTCAGGTTTGCTTCTTACTGGATACCAGTTTCATTTAAATTTTTGAGTTTATTTATTTAAAAGGGACAGTGCAGTTAAACATAGTTCAGGTGCAAGACATGAGA